TTAAAATATACCCTTGCTAATAAAGAGAATAGGTAAAAGACGCAATAAATGAATCAAAAAAGAAAGAGAATGTGTGGGAGCGTAATTGGAAAAACTTATTAGATGCTTAGACAAAAGTAAATATTATCTTATAAAAAAAATCAAATCCCTCTAATAAAATTTAGGTTATATTTTGAACTGAAGGGAGTATTTTTAAAAATATTATTTTTCTTATATATGAATCAGACAATGAAATATAAGCTTCAAGTATTTAATGTTGACAATTTTACGACAATACTAATTGCACATAAAAATTTTCAGTAAAACTACCTATAATATTATTCTCCTTGATAAAACATCAATGTTTAGTTTCAAAGAAATCTAAAAAATGCAGCCACAATTATTGTGTCATTAAAATAATTAAATTCACAAAGGTAGAGAACAAATAGGTTGAATGTTAGTTTGAAGATAATGTGCATTGCATAAATCAGATGTTAATAAATTCTGTAAATAATTTGTTTGTGAAACTCTATTTCCGTTTTTTCTAATAGTGTTTATGGTGCCCCTCTTCTATCATTATCATAATATTAACTGTCAATTAAGTGGCCATTCAACTGCTTAACCCAACCCGTTTTGACATCACCGGTTATTACAAGATTTTACATATAAAGTAGATACAAGAATAATTTCTTCTAATTCTTAGTCGCATTGTTGTTGGAAAAAATGTGAGTCACGTTGTAAATGGATTTGTTGGTCTTGAATATAAATCGCCAGAAAATATGTTTATCACTTTAGCTATTTTTTCCTTTTTATCATAATTTTGTAATTAAGATGTAATTAATATGAGGCGGGAATTGATGATGATGAAAAATAGTTTTTTTTTTTGACAAATTATATAATCTAACTAACTTTCAACTCATTTTTCAATATGTATGTTGAGATAATTTAAAGTGCCCTATATTATCAACAAGTTGTTGGTTAAGGTAGTAAGCAGCCTTATCCCGTAAGGAAAAGAATACAAGTTTAAATTTTGAGAATCATACTTGTTGAGAGATGCAAAAACCCTCTGCGCTTTAGTCTCGAAAGGAAAGACCCTTAATCAAACCAAAAAAAAAAAAAAAGTAACCTATATTGAGTAGGGTAATATCTCATAAAAATAAAACAAATAAACTAAAGAAGCCAGAATGGAGGATGGTATAAAGCAGCACTAGTCAATGATTCAAACTCTTTTAATTATTGAAGCAAAAACTCTTTTGATTATTAAAAAAAAAAAACAAAGAAAAAGAAAGTTTGCAAACATCAAATAGCTATTATGACATAAAAGATACATACATATGTGCAAAATTTATTGAAAACTCTAGAGCAATACAAGACTTTGTAGCCTACTTTTGAAACAAAGGGTCATAGAACATATTATTTGGATTAAAGTGAAAAAAGTAAAAGAATTGCCGCAATAGCAGAAGCTTTTTTCCAAGGAATGCTCCGGTATTCACGCATAAAGATTGCTTTATATTTGTGATAACGGTCATTATAAAACCCATCTAAGTCTCTATACAAAGAAACATGGAAGTGACTGTATCACTATTAAAAAAAAAACTCTCCATGATTCCATTACAAGAATCTAAACATCTTTTCCAGATTGGATAGTAACAGTGCTCAAAGCCACCATGTTTCTCAACAAACTGTCAGTCCAATTACCCACACTGATTCTTGGTATTCTCACAACCCCTTCTGAAAATAGCGAAAATAGAAACTTAGTTAACCGTCTCCCTTTGTGAGCTTTGAAATTTGACTCCTGCCTCATGTAGTTAATATATGAACGTTTCAAAATTGGTTAGAACCAATTCTCTAAGGTGGATTAATTGGTAAGCAAAATGTCCTTAATATATCACAAAGAAAAGAGCTCAACCAAGAAAAAAAGAAAAAAGAAAAAGGAAAAAAAAAAAAGAGAATCCTTTAACACACATCCATTAAAGTAATGTTCTAGAAAAGGATAAAAGTCTACAGATTTAATCAAAGCTTGAACCGTGTGATCAACGAGTCAAACATGTTGAGCGAATTAAACAAAAATAGGAGATCAATGAGTTACAACTGATTACATGTTACCCTCTTTAATTCTAATTCTGCTATTTCAACTGTTAATAACTAGTAATTCTAGTGATCTTGAAATAAATTAAATCATGTGCCATTCTATTTGGAAAAAAAATTCGATAGCATAATAGCTTAAAAATGAGTATTTGAACTATATTAACTTCAAAAAAATTACTAAACAGCAAACCAGCAACAGGACAACATCATAACTAATAACAATATTCATGAAACAAAAACAAAGCCATTGAATTCCAACTAATACAAAGTCTAAGTCTTCTAACTAAAAACAAATTTCATTGAATTTAGAAACAATGCCATCTAAATTCAATCATGTCCCATTGCAATTGGAAAAAATTCGACAGCATGACAGCTTAGAATGAATACTTCCCAGGCCTTATGCCTTCTCTTTCCACTATTTTAACATCAAAAAATAAATCTTTCAATACCAACCCGGCAAGGCAATTATTCATGGAAGTTTAATTTAGTCTAAATGATATCTCATGTAACATATAATCATTCAAACTATTAGGAATAATGCTTTAATAGAACTGAAATGATTCCATTCAACCAAAAATCAAACCCCACAAACCATAATCAAAACATACAACCCACAATTTGGGTAACACAACCCAGAACCTAGAAAACTTGTAAAAAAACATATAACCCACACAAATGAACCAATATTAAAATGAAGAACAGCTAACAAACCCGTTGGTCAATATTCAAACGAAGAAGAAGAATAAGAAGAAGAGATGAACCAAAGCAAATAGCATTACTATAAATCCAAAACATTTTTAAAACACTATAGAAGAAGAAGAAGAAAGACAAGGAACCTGGAATGTGAAGCAGAATCGCCTCTTGCACTGTCCTAAAATGCGAGCACGATGGCAGCGACGAATGGCGAACAGTGAATTTGATGGCAATGAAGGGGAGAATAAGAAAATGATGGTTGAGAAGCACAAAATCATAGGGAAAAGTGTGAAATTGAGGTAGGTAATGAAGATTTGAATTTTCAAAGGCCAAGGGAGAGACAAAGAAATGACAGTAAAAATTTCAAACGAGTCTAGGATAAATGAACACTTCTACTGAAAACCATCAAATATTCCTACGCGAAACCATACTTCATAGTTTTTCTTCGAAATCGTCAAGTAGTTGAGAGCAATACTTAAGAGTTATTTAAAATCGTCAATTCTTTTAACGCAATACTTAACGATTATTTAAAACCGTCAAGTATTTTAATGCAGTACTTAATGGTTATTATTAATAACCATCAAGTATTTCCTGTGTCCCTCTTATTTAACGGTGTTTAGAATAACTGTCAAGTATTTGACATCAAATATTTATAAATTTGTAATGGTGACCCTTCAATGCAAAGGTGAAAACCACAGGTCATTCTATAGCATCCATATTATCTCTACCCCCAAAGCTTTTGTCATATAGAACTCGAAAATCTTTTTCCCTCTTGCCATCACCAAACTACCTTGGTGAGCTTCCACTTCCTAGAGCCAAGGTAGTTATCAAAATCATCTTCATCAAGTACCTGGGGTTATGTTGAGAGACAAATATAGATGTCAAGGTTTGCACAAGGGGATTAACAACAAAACTTAGGTGACTTACAAGAAAAAATTAAAAGGGAATTAACAACAATGCATAAGGGAGCCAACACAACTCAAACTTATGAGTTAGATACAGTGAAATATTTTCTCACCACTTGCAAGAATCTTTGAGAAAACAAAACAAGTATATGGCAGAAATTAAATAGCCAAATAGACACCAAGATTATTAACACAAAAAACCCTTAATGCAAGGGTAAAAACCATGTATCGTCCAGATCAAAAAAAATTACAGCTCCATTATGATCAAAACAGGGCATGAGAGAGTCTCTATCAGATGCATAAACAAGTACAGACAACTAGTCAAACAATCAAAGCTACAAGCTTAAAGTAGAGAATGAAAAAGCTAAAAAAAATACTCAAACCAGAGGCTATCGCACCAAGCAATGAGTTGATGATCCCCTCATTGAAAGTGATGCACTAGATGTTGTAAACCTACAAACCAAGTTTTTAATTGATCCAATAGTTAGTTAATATGTAAATGCTGATTTATCATGACTGTCATGTGAAGATACGAAAATGGTTGGCTCTTCTTCCTCTTCAAATGGCTGCTCTTATGAGACCTCATCCTTTAACCTAATATGTCCTATCTCCGCTTTAATAAGTGAGACTCAAATTTGGGCCTTCCTGCACATTGGAATTTTTAATTATTGTTAGTTGTTAAAGTGTGCATCTGACTTATAAATTCACTTATGAAGACTTGCAAACTTTTGTTCAACTCTTATAATATAATATAAATTAGAATTTATAAATTTTCATATACACACTTGTTATTTTGATATTGTTAATTGTTAAAATGTGTATGTGCAATGTAAATTCATGTATAAAATATAGATATTTGTAATATAAAACTCTAAATTAAAAACATATCTGTATAAATATTAGATCTCATAATTTTTTAAATCTTTATCTTTTAAAATTGTAAAATATTTGTTATTTTCCTCAGATTATTTTTTTTTCTTTTTTTTCTTTACTCGCCTTATATTTTTAATTATATTATGTTTTTGTTTTCTATTTGAAACCAATTTTCAATAGATTTTTGTAATTATTTTTTGGGTCTCTTAATTAGGATGTGTTTTGAAAAAAAATATTAATTTAATTATGACCATCTAGATCTGACCAAGGTTTAAAAAAAAAAAAAAGAGACCGAACCAGATAGTTTAATCGAAAAACCGGTAAATAGGTCACTAATCCAGTCTGATTTGTTTAAAAAACCGGTTTCATCGGTCAAAATCGCTTTTAAATTAGGTAGCCAGTCCCTTTTTTTCTTTTATTTGGGGCCCCCAGACGGCTTCAGACGACATCCTTTCCCTCACAAGTCCTCATCAGCCATCCCAAATCCGAAAATCCCCTGCCCGCGAAATCGCAGAATCACTACCTTCCTCCTTCTCCCAGACTCCAGCCATTCCCTCCGCCGAAATCGTCGCTGACGGCGGTCCTCCTAGTTCGGCCGTTCACTGACAGTGGCAGCCAGTCGCAAGTCTCCCTTCTCGTTGACGTCCTGCTTCGCCTTCATCGTTCATTAAAGTCCTGCTTCGCCTTCACCTCTCAATCGCTCACACGGCAAGTTGCGAGTCTCCATCCTCTCCTTGCTGACGTCCTGCTTCGCCTTCACCGGTCACGGAGTTGGTCCCGATGCTTTGTTGCTGTTGATAATAAATGTCAGTTACGATGCAAATGTTAATCATTGATTATGATTGAATTAATTGATTATATATATTTCTTATAAAAATTTTTAATTAATTTTCAGTGGTGTTCCGAATTGTCCCAGAGAATATCAATGCCGAGAAAAAGAAGGTCTTTAGGTAGACCTGACTCGTTAAGCTCCTTAAAAGCTGAGCTAGAAAATAGGGAACTTATCGAGTTGCCCTCAAGTTATTGCATCTACAGAGTGCCTCCATTGATTCGAAAAATGAATCCGACAGCCTACAAACCCATGTCGGTTTCCATTGGCCCATATCACCATGGCGATAAAAGATTGAAATCAATGGAAGAGGTCAAATTGTGGTTCCTCTGCAACTTTTTGAAGAGAAATCAACAAAAATCGTTTGATGATTATGTTTGTGTCCTCAAACACAAAGAAAGCAAAATTCGAAGCTGTTATTCAGATAACATCTCAATGGAGAGCGATGAATTTGTAAGGATGGTTCTAACTGATGCTTGCTTCATTATTGAATACTTTCTTCTAATGCTAGGTGTGGACAGCTCGCTTTCTAAGCTACCCTCAATGGAGATAAGATCAGACTTAATTTTAGCTGAAAATCAGCTACCATTTTTTATTCTTGAAGATCTGTTTGACCTGAATTTTTCCAATGGCTGCAATGTTGGATCTACATTTGTGTTTTTTACCTTCTACTATTTCAAAGGTGCATTCCTATCGGGTATAGTTCCTAACGAAAAACTTCGTGAAGGGTTTACGTACTCATATTTTGAACAACACCACCTGCCGACACTTGATGGTACTCCAAAAGTGGATCACTTGTGTGATATGCTAAGAATCTTTTGTGTACGGCTTGATCAACTACCAAGGGAACCTAGTATCGGCAAACTAAAGCCTGTATATAATGCAAGTAAATTAGATGATGCGGGAATTAAATTTGAGGTTAATGAAGATGAAATGAGCATACTTCGGCTGCAATATTCAAAGGGAGTGTTGAAAATACCAAGAACGAGGGTAAGTGATTTCACAGAGATCCAGCTTAGAAATGTGGTTGCATTTGAGCAGTGTCACTTTCGTTCATCAAGAAGCATGACTGATTACATAATGCTCTTGGGCCATCTTATTAGAACAGGAAAAGATGTTGAAATGCTTGAAGAAAAAGGGATTATAGAGAACTACATAGGGGAGGATGATGCAGTGGCTTTCATAACCAAGAGACTGAGCAGGAATGCTACCCCTGTAAACTTCAATAATGATTATATCTATCTATCAGAAGAATTGAACAAGTTTTGTGATAGCCCATACCACAAGTACCAAGCAATCTTTAAGCGGCAATATTGGAGCACTCCCTGGAGGATAGCATCTTTTTCAGGAGCAATTCTGCTTCTTTTCCTCACTTTGATCCAGACAATATCATCTGTCATTGCCTTATTTCAGAATTAGCTCCAAAGCTCTTGTAAGGGTTCAAACTTTGATTAAATCTGTAGACTTTTATCCTTTTCTAGAACTTTGCTTTAATGGATGTGTGTTAAAGGATTTTTTTTTTTTTTTTTTCTTCTACCGGCCTGTTGGCCCAGTGGTGTGGGTGTGTGCATGGGTGTGTGTAATGCGGGTTCGATCCCGCCCTCCTGTAACTCAAAAAAAAAAAAAGGATTTTTTTCTCTTTTTAATCAAAATACCTTCCCATAAGACATTTCTCAAAGACCTCCATTTTAACACTTTACCCAGCTATCTTATTCGTAGCATTTTTTTAGGCACTCCGCAGAAAAAGGCTTTTATTTTATTATTATTATCATTTTTGTTTAATGATTATTAATCAATCATAGAACATGATTGGTTTACAAGTCAGTGTAATTTTTGCATTGTAAATACCTCAAGATCATTAGAGTTCAATTCATCACAGCATCTTTCTTTCAAACACCTGACTAAGTCATATCTGAAGCCAGTGATGTATCTCCGTTGTCATAGAAACATGGCTTTCAAAATTCAATCTCAGAGTGTTCTTCCATTGGCTCTTGTTTTGCTGGGCATGTTGGCATTTCAAGCCTCATCTCGCACCCTTCAAGAAGCTTCCATGAAGGAGAGACATGAGCAATGGATGGTTCGATATGGCAGAGTGTACAAGGACGCTCAGGAGAAGGAGAAGCGTTTCAACATGTTGAAGCAAAATGTGGAATACATTGAAGGCATTAACAATGCTAGAACTAAGCCTTACAAATTAGGTGCGAATCAATTTGCAGATCTCACATGAAGAATTCACAGCTTCTAGAAACAGATTCAAGGGTCTTGTGTGCTCCTCAATCACAAGGACACCCACTTTTAAATGTGAAAATGTGACTGGTGTGCCTTCCCCTGTGAATTGGAGAAGGCAAGGTGCTGTCACACCCGTCAAGAACCAAGGCGATTGTAGTGAGAATTACTCTATTACTCCTTAAAACTAATACTCCCTCTCAACATAAACATAATAACTAGATAACTAATTTACAATTATTAAGGGTATTAGTTAAATTGCTTATTAGTAATAATTATATTATGTGTTGGTTTTCCTACAATACACCATTTAACCATTACTCCCGTTAATGAAAATTTCTTTTAATATATGCAATCAGTAGCTTTGAAAAAAAATATCGATATGGGATTAAATTGAGATTGGATTTCCATTTTGATTGCCTAAAGTGCATGCATGTCATTTGTAGAAACATATAGACACAAAAAATGACGTGGCCCCCAATATAAAAAGTGGGCTTACCTTTCCTTGTCCATCACTCTCTTTCATTTTAGGTGAAGTACACCTCAGTGTACCTTTTTTTTTTCATTTTGCCTTAGTCTTTTTTTTCCCGGATTTGCTTCCCATTTGTGTTTTTCTGTAAATTCTTCTTGGATAACAATATAAGTTCTCTTTTGGTGGGCAAAGAAAATCTTAAAAGCTGAACTATTTATTTTTCAATGGATGATTTCACTTTCAACAACGTTTTCTTTGATAAGAAAAAATTTAGATGAGTTGAGTTTTAAAAATTCACCAGGATCAAGATATGCTTCAAAATTTGGAGAGCGCTTATAGATGTATTTACAGATGACTCACCAACAAAGTTCTAACATGAGCCATGGGATTTGAACTCATGATCTAGTGGATTATGAGTTGACTTCTTATCAAGTAGACAAACTTTCATTAGTTACTTTTTATAACTTTTACACATTCTATTAATAGTTTATGTAGAATCATAAACAATGACTACTTAACTAATTTGGATAAATTAAAAAATTAGTTAAAATAATTATTTGTAGCAAGTATGAATTGGTTTTGTTAAACCTAAAGCATCTTTTTTAATGATGACTATTCTTTTCTATTTTCCTAAAGTATGGATGAAAAGTTCCTTAACATGTGTAATCAATATAGATGTTTTAAAAAACTAATTATAAATTTGAGAGATAAAATAAAATGAGATTTTATATTAATTTAAGATCAAATTCAATCCCAAACTAGCTCTTATATTAATTGTCCTAAGTATTATAGGAATGTCACAAACTCATTGAGACTAACATGTATGGCATAGGAGCTTTTATCCTTAAACTACAAAGTGGGAGATTTGATTTCTAATTTTTACATTCAGAACAAAATTAGCGTAGAAAAATTGACCTTTTATTCTCCTTACAATGTTATTAATAATGGCTAAAGAAAACCATATACTATCTCATTACTATAGGATCTAGTTTGATAGTTTAGAGAGACTAAAAAAATTAGTTAAATTAATTATTTATAATAATTTTTTATAAAATATTTTTACTAATTATATATATTAATTAGAACTAATATTTGATGAAACCTTTAATATATGTAACTATATTATAAGGACTATTTTAAAAATAAATAAATATAAAAAAAAAAGTAAATTAAAATTTTATATTTACGATAAAACCTTCTGCTCATAGCGGAATTCAAAATTTTGGAGCGACGAAGTTCTGTAAGATAATTTTACACAGTCCACTCTTCTTCAGTTCTTCTTCTCAGTTCTGGGCTCTCCCTTCCCCATTTTCGCTGGTAACATTTCTTTTCCGTCTTCGTTCTTCAGATTTAGTGTCGATATTGTGGGGGTCCTATTTCCTCTTTTCAACAAACTCATCTTTTTTTTTTTGGGGTACTTTTTTCTTTTGCTGCAGCCATATTTCTTTGCCGATCTTCTGTGGGCTGAGATTTGGAGGTTGAGTTTGGTTCGATATGAACCTGAGCAGTGCTGGGTTTGAAAATCCTATTGGCTGTTACGATGCTGCGGTTCAAGTATCTCTTTCTCCTTGTTGATCTGTTTCTTGTTTCTGTTCATTTTAGTTTAATTCATTTGAAATGTGGGGGAGTTGTGAATTTCTGGTACAAGTAGGGAACTTATTTAAAGTTTTAGCGTACAGGTATATTTCTCCAGGAACTTGATAGATGACTTGTTTTCTTCTTTGTTGGATGTTTCTTTTAATTGGTAGTATTGTCGATTTTCAGCTTGCGCACAAAATTCTATTTAAACATAAATTCTTACTGACTTTAATGATCGCATGTTTACTAAAATGAGCGTTATTTGTTGAAGCAACTACCGAGAAATAGAAATTCTTCTATTTATGTTGTAATTTTTGAAGCATTGGCGACAGCTAAAGAAATTTTAAAGAAAATTAAAATGAATTTTCAGATATACTAGATTTAACAAATTTCAGTTGTGTTTGTGGATTCTTCAATACTCGTTTAGTGAGGTCAGCTCCATATTGCTAGTTTATCCATTTTTAACCAGGCAGAGTTACATAACAGTTGAAGTAATTAGACTTGCAACTCTGTAGAGCTGCACAGGTGGTTTAATATGATTTAAACAGCATAAATTTTAGGTGGGACCACAAAATGTTTGATGGGGAAAGTACTACACTTTTGACTCCAATAGCTGTGTATCGGTAGCATTACTCTTAAGTTTGGGTTGAATTCTACATGCTTCCTGTTACTTATGTGCCCTTGTTTGAAGTGTTTATGATTTTCAGTTTGTAAGAGTTTTTGTTTGGAAGTAGAATTAATCTTTACATAATGACCTTGGATTATTGTCCACTTAGGCTTAAAAATAGTATTTGTTCTTTGTACATGTAGGAGCTTCTTGTTATTGATGATATCCTGTCAGCCATGGTTGGGATTGAAGGACGTTACATCTTGATTAAAACAGTTCATGGAAAGCAGGATGATGTCACTTTCCAGGTTGATCCATCTATGGATTTGGCACTTCAGGTGAGAATTAGCATTACCTGCATATATTCAGTTGATATTGTCTCCCTTGAGACTTCAATCCAACATAAGAGACATCTAACCTTTTTATATTACTTCATAGGGAAAGATGTGATACGATATTTGGGTAAGAAACAAGCTAGCCTAGAAATAGGATTTTTTTTTTTTTTGGAGATGTTTAATATGCTCTGAATTTACGTCCTAATAATTAGCCTATCCAAAATTGTAACTTCATTCTATGTTTGGATCTTTGGATGTTTGTTGACACTCACTCAACTTTATAAGCTATTCTAATGAAGCGTCATGCATCTTGCATAAACTTACATAATGAAAGAATTTTACGTACGCCCTACTCCTGATGCAAGTCCAGAAAAGAAATTTCTTTGTCCACACAAAAAGTGAACCTGATGGCTCATGTGATCATAACCTTTGCGATGTCTCTAATAAATCATGGCATACTTTAAGGACTGCTCACAGCAGTCAATTGTCTTAATAGTTGATTTGAATCAATTTTTGCAGGAATTGGCAAAACGGATATTTCCTCTATGTAAGAGTTTTATCTTGATCAATCAGTTTGTGGAATCAAGGTCTCAATTCAAGAATGGCCTAGTAAACCACGCCTTTTCTGCTGCACTCAGGGCACTCCTTCTTGTAGGTTTTTCTACGTTGCTCATCATTTTGACTATTATCATACCATGACATTTCTACTTGCTTCTTTGATCTAATTCATTGTTGGAATCTCTACATAATATTATATACGTGTTCTCTTTTTGATGTGTGTGCCTATTTATTTCTAAAAACAGTTAATTTTGGGCTAAGTTTAGGAATGCTGCTTGTGTCTTTTAGTCTAGTTATAGGAAACTAGGCTCGTGTTAGGACAGTTTTTCCGGTGATCTTAAGTTGGAACATCAATCAGGAGGTTTGCGATCGTCTGACTTGAAACTGCAAATCAATATGATGATCATGTTAAAATTGATTGTATAGAAATTAAAATTAATAGCACTGCAGAGTGGCCTACGGCCTCATGCATGTCACCCTCTTCTGGGGCATTATATAAAGGTTAGCTAATTTTAATAGAAGATGTAAAATTCAAATAATCCCCAACTTATGCTACCTTTGATCAATCTTTTCCAGGATTATCAGGCCATGATAGCACAGCTTGAGCACCAGTTTCATCTTGGGAGACTTTCCCTTCAAGGATTGTGGTTCTACTGCCAGGTTTGTATTTGAGATAAGTGAATGCAAATATTTGTCGTATCCTGGCTAATCTTATTTTAAATTGCCGCAGCCCATGATGGGGTCTCTGCATGTGCTGTCTATCGTAATACAGAAGGCTTCAGTTAACAACTTTTCAGGTTCTGCAGTTCTTAATTTATTGCAGAGCCAGGTAAAATTTATCTGTAGGTTGTCAGACTTTCTTATGGAGTCAAACGGAAATTCCTATGTGATGGTTATCCCTTTCCGTATATGTTCTAGAAATTTTTGTTTAGCTTATCATGACTTTTATTGTATATAGGCAAAGGCTATGGCTGGAAACAATGCAATTAGGTTGTTGCTGGAGAAAATGACGCAGTGCGCCAGTAATGCTTACCTGAGCATATTAGAAAGGTAGCCCTGACTATGCCTTCCTACACGAGATGACAAGATTCCTTGACCTTAAATCGAATTTCTTCCCCTCTATTACATATTAATTCTGATTATGCATTACTGTTCCACCTAAATCAATATTGTTAGATATTTTTTTTACGACTTTAAAGGATCAGATAATCAGGTACCTTGACCTGTTTGTCAACCTATAGGATAATTTTACATTGAATAAAATTAATATCAGCTTATGATACCATGGATGTTTTCGTTTTCTGCATCACACATTAACTGGCATCTTACCTATATGGGCATCCTTGTTGAGGGTAACCTTAAGTCTTCTTCCTTGGTGCCATTTGTTTATGAAATGTCTAAACATTTCGACCAGGGTGCTTTTTTCTATTGTGGCTGGTTTACTCTTAATCCTTGTTGTGGCTGCTTTAGAGATGAAGGTATCAAACTTTTCTGAATGTCTTGTCTTTCCTTGGTGCTGAATTCTCCAGTTCAGGGAGGATGCCCTTGGAGGTGATTTTATGTATTAGAAAAAGAGGTATCAGTATATACTGTCGTTTTCATTGTTGGACAAGGCTGAGGAGAAGAGATGTTAGTATCGACTCTGTTTTGTCATTGTTGTACAAGGCTGAGGATTCAGATTTGGCTAATAGAGATCTGGATTCTTTAGATGAAGTTGCAAATGTGAATTTCTCTCCCCATGGAATTCAAATATGAATTCATTGCAGTAGTAGCTACGGCTATATGTTCCAACATTATTTTCAAGAACAACTTGTTCTGAACAAGTCTAATCTTCATGGCAAGTGGAAGCGATCCAACAAATAAAGATTAACGGAATAAGGACATCAACACAATTATTTATAGATGCACCAAGGCACTTTGCTTGGAAGTTTTATGAATTCCTAACAATTTACGAAGAAGACAAAGAAAGAGAAACACATTGAAGATTTGACTAGTAAATGATGACAGCTGCCCTAATTATTTACCCAGATGTCTGGCTGATAGAATCGCTTTTAGTGGCCAGACCTATATAGAAGGGAAATTAGCAAAATAGATGAAAGAAGAAAATCTCTTTCTGCTGTCCAGGACTTTAACCTCAAGCTTGTTTCTATTTGGAGAAAGATATTGAGCATTAGAGTTACTTTAGGGTGGCTATAGGCCTGAAATAGGAAAGGGCTGTATTGGGGGTTGTGAGGATCACTTTTTGGACCTTATAATAGTCGTTGGTTTCTCAGGGTAAGGCAGGACTTGTTTTGTATTCGGAGTGTAGTGAGGAGAGGACTGGCATCTTGAAAGCCAGGTTAGGGGTGGAGGAAGAGAGTCTTTCTTCATCGCTTTTATCTCTATTTTAGTGTGTTAAGAGAGTTGAGTGTTCCGTGAGCTCATATCTTCTATTGTAACAAGTGTTCTGTGGAATCAATATCAGTTTCAGTTTTATTATTTTACTGTTTTATGTTGGTCCCTATCACTGGAATTGTTGGAGCAATGTTTACCAATCCTAGTTTGCATGCTTTAAATATCCAAGATTAATGTTAGAAATAGGACTGACTGATAGTTTTTTTTTTTAAAATGTAATCAGGTCAATTTATATTTTTAAACTAGAAAGGAGGATTATGTATTTCAACTTAGAATTTTAATTTTTTTGGCCAAAAAATTTTAATTGATTCTGACTATTTGTTCATTTTGTTGTGCATATTGCCTTGAACAACATGAAAGATGGGTCTATGAAGGAGTAATAGATGACCCTTATGGTGAATTTTTCATTGCAGAGAACAAATCACTCCAAAAGGTAGTTTAATATGTTTCTTTCATTCACAACAGCCCCATATTGTTATTTCATTCTCTTGCTCCCAGCAGTCACAATTTTAAATTCTGTCCAGGAGAGTCTCACTCAAGATAATGACGCTAAATATTGGCGGCACCGTTACAGCCTCAAAGATGGAATTCCTAGTTTTTTATCAAATATGGCAGGAACAATCTTGACCACTGGAAAATATCTGAACGTCATGAGAGAATGTGGGCACCATGTACAGGTTTTTCTACTGTAACAATTATGCTCTGTATACAGAATAGATCTCTCTTCTCAATCTTCTTGACATAGGAGGTTGATTACCAAAGAAGATTTCCTTGTTTTATATCTGGTTGCTCCTCTAAATGTTGTTAATTGCCTTAATATTAGGTCCCTGCATCAGAAAACTTAAAAGTAACAAGTCTTGGTTCAAATCATCATTATCTTGAACGTATTAAGGCTGCTTATAATTTTGCAAGTGGTGAGCTCCTGAATCTCATCAAAGATAAGGTGAGGTAGACTTTGAATCTGGTGATTAAATTTTCAACTTGTTTTCTGAAGTTCTTGCAACGGTCATTTCTGATGGTGAGTCATGTTTGTTTGTCTAGTTTGATTTGCTGGGAAAGCTGCGATCAATAAAGCACTATCTTCTTCTTGATCAGGTAAGTACAACTTAGAGGAGTTCAATTTTGAAGATAGGAACTGGCTATGCTGGCAAAGCTAATACAGTATAGATGACAATATTATTCAGTGACTGGAATGTTCCCTTCTTTTTCCTAATAGTCTTAGGATAAAATAAAATAAATCTAATCATCCTTAATCCTGTACTCCATCACAGTTATTCAAGCTTGTTGACTTTTGGTTTGAGTTCGCATGTAGAGGAAGGTATGGGAACAAAATATGCTGTGAGAATCAGGGATGCTGTCAATATAACTGAAGATTTTTTTTCAATACGGCATCATCATATTGGTTTTGTTTGACTTTGATTGAAAGGGAGGGAAAGTTTGTTGGCGTAGGAGAAACGATAAGCATTATATGTTTTATTTTACTCAGTCTGAGAGTAGTCAGAGAACTTGTAACAACCTTTACTGGTCATATTGAACCTGTAAGGTTTTATTGATATACATGAGGCTTGGGCATGATTGGTGGCATATTATGGTAATGTTCTTGTGAAACGAGTCAGGCAGACTGGTGTAGAATAAATGTTGGAACGAGAGAGAAAGAGGGAGAAAGAAGGAGAATGAGAGAAAGAAAGATAGAACAGAGAGGTAGACGAGGTAACTAGGAGAGATTCTATTCCATTCAACTTATCATTCTCATAACCTAATTGCAATATACCTAATCCTTCCTATTTCTAATCCTGGGGATCCATTAACTAATTCTAACCAACTCTTCCTTTTATTACAATTATATATCACAGACATGGGTATTACCATGATCAAAATCGACCTTATCAACATAAAGATTCCTGTTCTTTTAGTTTACTTCTTCTTCATATGAATTAGTAGTAGGGAAGAGGCAAGGAGGTTGGGATCCTAACGTCAGAGTCAAAGACAGGTCGGTGTCATGTGAATTATTACTTTGTTTGAAAAGACACTTTAGGACAAAAATCTTCCCCCCTAAACTTTATTTGATTTTCATACTCGATGACTGGAAGATTTATGGGCATCTGTATTCATAAATGTTGTGCATTCAAAGGCATAGTGCTTTTCTTCATTAATTTTAGCATGATCACAATGACCATGTATGATCACACAGGGTGATTTCTTGGTACATTTTATGGATATTGCTCGAGATGAGCTGGCAAAAAAACCTGATGAAGTCTCTGTTGAGAAGCTGCAGGTATATAACAAGCACTATGCTGTCTTTTATTTGTGTGGAAAAAGCAGACATGTTTAATAATTCCACAGAAGACCAAGATTTTGACTGTGGGCGTTCATCTTATTCTCTTTTCTTTTCTCAACCCCACCCCCATATGACTTAGTCGCTTCTGGACCTTGCTTTGCGTACTACAGCGGCTGCAGCAGATCCTTTGCATGAAGACTTAACCTGTGTTGTGGTAAGTAACTCAAGTTTGTGAAAAAAATATATTTTGATCCTTATCTCGAAGATGACTTATGCCATGCATTTTCCTTTCAGGAAAGATCTTCTTTGCTGAAAAGGCTGGGTTCAATCAAAGGTCCTGAATTTAGCAATAGTTCTTCTGTTAGCGACGATCTGGAGGAACCAGTTAGCATTACTGGTCTTGAAACATTTTCCCTAAGTTATAAGGTTGTTGCATTCCCCTTGAAGTTTCTGAACAGATTGCCTTTATTAGCTCACTCGTGATAATTTGTTGGTTTGGGTTCTCAGGTCCGATGGCCATTGTCTATAGTCTTATCACGCAAAGCTCTTACAAAGTATCAGTTAATTTTTCGATTTCTTTTCCATTGTAAACATGTTGACCGTCAGCTTTGTGGAGCATGGCAAGTGCATCAAGTATGACTTCAAGTGCCATTCACCTTACCTGGTTTGATTGCATCCAACACTCCTCATTTCCTTATTTTGTTTCATTTTAAAGGGAGTTCGTGCTCTCAACACTCGTGGAACTGCTATCTCCAGATCATCACTTCTCTGCCGTAGTATGCTTAAATTTATCAATAGCCTTCTACACTATCTGACATTTGAGGTAGGTTTTACTTTTCCCCAACTTTTATGTACGTTTTGGGTCCTTTCTGTTCCGCAACACAGGCCCTTCTCTTTTGTCCTTCAATTTGTCTGTTGATTTTTATAGATTTTGCTTAATATCACTGCTCTATCTTTACAATAAAATAATTGGATCCAGGCTTCTTATAAAATTTCAAATATGCATGTATATATAAATATTTCCTAATGTGCATACTCAGACTCTATGAGCAGCTAGGTGCATTTATCAGTATATGATTACAATTTTTATTTTAGGTTATTGAGCCCAACTGGCATGTCATGTATAGCAGGCTTCAGTCAGCCAAGAGCATAGATGAGGTAAATTCTCTGTCCTTGAGAGCATAACATCCTCTTGAGCCTTGACATTTAATTGATAATTACATGTGGTGTGTATTTCTTTCTCTGTCTGAAACAGGTTATTCAACATCATGATTTTTTTCTTGAAAAATGTTTGCGAGAATGCTTGCTTTTTTTGCCAGAGCTGCTGAAGGTTAGTTTCTCTTTATTGTTGAACCTTAAACGGTTATGCTATTGCAGCTTTCGGCTACAAAAAGTATCATCTCTCTTATAATGTTTTCGATGGTCTTAACATTAGGAAAGGGACAGATGTCCAAAATAGGCATGTTTGAGCAGAGAATTCGTTTTGTTCCTCTCATCTTTTCAGGTGCAGTTGGTTCCCTTCTGTCCGCAGAGAGGGGAATGAAAACAATTTCTGAAAGCTTTTATGGATTTCTCTGAATAGAATTGGATTGCTGTGGGAGAAGATTAACTTGAGAAAATAGGAATAATTGAACAGTGTATTTGAAAATGTCTCCCATTCTTGTGTTTAGTTTCAACCTCATTTGCTCTAACTTGATTGTTCTGATTCCCCTAAGTTACTGTTTCCTGATCCGGCAAGAGGTCTTGGAAGATTAATAATTTAACATTGCTGCACAGCAATTTTGCAGAACTAGACCTGGGTATTGCCATGAGATGGACAAACGAAACACCGACTTCAAAAAAAGACTTGTAATGAAGCAGGTTTAATTGAATCCTACAATTTAATAGTGAAAACTATTAATAGATTTAATATTAGAATTAGCAACAATGGAAAGAGTGTTGCATGTTTTTAGATCCTAGGATTCAACAACTGCCATGCAACAACAGAATATAAAATTGTGCTGTCAAGGACCTTTTCGAATAAAAAATTTAAGATGTTAAGTACAAGCTTGTAAATAGTTTTGCTATAATCTTTAACACGTTGCTTCATACAAAAGTTCTCTGGGCTTCAAGTGTGAAGAAAACCATACGCTTATTATTCCTTGTATTTGAATCTTAAAATAAGAGCATGAGAAGACCCAAGGATTGAGGAGACAAGAGCGTGTGGAAGCTTTTTATATTACAAGAAAACACGCATACAACAGATGTATAAACCATGTGCGACTATGAAATATCCAGTTTCGCTTTATATCTAAACTTGACCCCAAGTGGGTGTTGTTTGTCGCTTTTGTAATATGTTGTCTGCAACATCCTCAATTGCAGAAGGTGGAGAGGCTCAAGTCCATGTGCCTGCAGTATGCCGCTGCAACGCAGTGGCTTATTTCATCTTCCATCAAAATACATAATCCAGAGGAAGCCATTGATGGCTCAACTGGCTTGGGCAAAGCCAATCAATTGAAATCAGGAAAATTATCTCAGGCTCTGAAATCTACCACCAGGAGTGCCACCGTCACTGAATCAGTTCTGTAAGTCAAATGATGTTCTAATGCATACACGGAACCAGCAAATTATTGCGGGGGGAATTAAAGTTCATCTTTCTATTTGTGGGTTAAATTGGTTTGGCTCTTGTGGTTTAGGGTGTGCCGTTCAATGTTTCAATTTTCTTTGTTCGTTCACTGTTAATTTATCTTTTGTTGTTTTACTTCAACTTTTGTTATAGCGTTCTGTTCTGAGGTTATTGTTGATAATTTGAGAATTGGATTTGTAAGCCTTATCAGTAGTACTTGTAGAATTCTATGAAATTGTTTGAAGAGATATGTGTGTGTGTGTGTATATATAAAGCCTTTAATGCAATTCTTTTTCCTCATTTTTCCTGGTGTGACTCTAATGATATATTGCAGCAAATTTGAGAGGGAATTCAATGCCGAACTTCAAAGTCTTGGATCAGTCTTGAGTAGAAGTTCCCAAGCAAATCCATATCTGACTCATCTTGCACAGTCGATTCTTGGTGTTAGAAACGAATAGAAGTATATCTGATGTCCTTTCCCTTACTGGGTTGTTGTAATTTTTCTTGAAGTTTTTTGAGTGCAGGTATTTATATTATTGATAATGCTTGTCTCATGCTTTTTGATTGTGTCATTGTTCAGGAATGGAGTTAGCATTATCAGGTTTTCTTGACATGTTTGTTTTGTATCTATCAAGTTATTTTCCTATGGCCTTGAACAGCAATAGTTACTCTAGTTGAAAAGTTATGTTTCTGGAATTCAGAGCTTCTTCCATTATCCTAACCTTAAGGACAACGATGATGGACAGTTGGACACATCTCAAGATGTTGTCATCTGAACCTAGTTCAAACTATCAGAACAATGTGGGGGTCTTTATGGTGATAAGGGTTCAAATTTTTTTTAGGAAGTGTTTGGATAGAAACTAATTTATCATTTTAAAAATGATTTATAATATACGAAATAAATATGTGAGACTCGATTTGTTTCAAAGCACTTTTTAAAAATGCTTTTAGGAGTAACCAAACATCCTCCCTAATATAATAATTATTATCGAATATAGTTTGGAAGCCCAAATCTAATTTTCATGGATTGCTTGTTCAGTTATGTTTGTTAAATTGGGTTTTGCCTATGAGAATTTCCAATACCAATAAAAGATTACTTTTACTAAAAATTGTTGTTTCTTATTAATGAGGGTTGATTCTAACAAAAAAAGTTAGTTTCTCATAATGTGATGAATCGGGCTACTCACATTTAGTATTCAAGAGTATTTCGAATGAGATAGCTTCTAATAACAGGATACATGTGCTTATAGAAAAACAAAGAATGTTATTTCTTAATTCTTCTCTTACCAAAAAAAAGAGGATAAGGTATATTGTTTAGATGTTCATTTTTGCCAAACCATATTAATTTTGGTTCGATTGTGGATCTAACTAATCGAGTCATGAAAATTAAGAATGGCTAATCTTTTCATTTTGATGGTCGGCCCATATTGATTAATACGAATGCCTCTAGTTGTATTAAAATAAATGAATTGTCATACATAATTAATCTGGCATAACAATCAAACGAGAGACTATAGGAGAGAAGAAAAATAATCCTCAAGGGAAAAAAATCATAATTGAATCTGAACAAAATACAATTAATGAATCCTTTAAATTTCCCTTTACACATGATAAACATTGTCAATAAGGTTAGGGTTCATTAACACTTTTTTAAGGCATTTTTATCAAAATACTGTAAACAGTAAAAAATGATTAATATGTAAATTTGTTCTAAAAGTTTTCATTCAACAGTGTTAGATATCCAAAAAAAAATTTTAAAAGCAAATTTGTCCCGAAAGTTTTAAATCATGATAATATTTCCTTTTACTATCAATAATATTAAATTTTATTCTGGGCAATTTATAACTATAGTCCAAAAAAGTTTAATTCATAAAATATTTTAATAATAATTTTATAAAATATTACATTCCAACCATCCATTGTTTTGACGTAAGGGTGGAGAGAGGATCGGAGAAGAAAAGGTGAAAGAAGATGCTATGAGTTCATATCTGTGGGCTATCAATAGTAATTCTCTCTGGAAAAAGGAAAGAGAGGGGGAAGAAGTTGTGGAATGGGTTCTTTGATTGTAATTTTCGCTGAAGACAAAAGCAAGAGAAGATGCACAGGAAAAGCAGTGTAGAAGTCGATCAGAGCCTGAACAATTTGTAAATGTAGTATTTGGGTAAATTCTTTTTCAACATGTGTTTTGATAAAAAAATTTTTACTGTTTGCAGTATTTTAATAAAAATGCCTTTTTTAAAATATATATCAATTTGAGACTGACCAATTCAACAATTTTCCACTGGACAGAATTTTAGCTCAACTTTAATGAAATAATTTAAAATTGTTTGACCACTTAATTTATTGAATTTCCTAAAACTGTTTCATTTCGTTATACTCATCACCCAGAACATCCTTAATAGTCACACATTTTACTTCTAAGTTCAACCCACACTTACTACTATTAACCATATCATGTACAAGCATTTGTTCCAAATCTTGCACATAACAAAGCAATCAATTATTACAAGACGCCGATAAAATCTGTATCCATAAGACCTTTGTGAATTTTTACTGATTAGTAAGTAGTTGTGTAGATTAATTTCAGTTTTTTTAATGCTATTGTTGTGGTATTGGGTTAATTGATTGTTCCAGCAGCTCTTAAATCAATTTTATTGCACCTAATCCATTGATCAGCACCAAGACATCATAATTATGATGAAAATATTTCAAAGGAACAGAAGGAGATGAAAAACTCAGCTGCCACAAAATGGAAATATTTATATCTTCAACCAAAAGAAGAAACAAATCCACTATTCACCTAAAAAGTTGAAGGGAGCAAAATTTGCTTGGCAATCATTAAATTACCTAGTGTTATGTTCAACTATAAAAAGGGTAGGTTCATATATTACTTATATATATAAACCATAATATCAAAAACTTAAAAATGAAGAGAAAAAAAGGAGTATTCACTCAAGGCATATTTACATGTTGGGATTTTCCTCTAAGGAAGAATCAGAGGCAGAGTCATCTAAAGTTGAATTTGACACAGTCTCAATTTGACTCCCACTCTCACTGTCTGAAGTTGCTGCTGGCCTCTCTTCATGTGGATGTTTCAAGAACCAATACATTATACTTGCTGTTAATGTAAGGATCATCTTTTGGTTCACCTGAAAATGTGTAATTCCATTTTACGGTTTAGATGAAAATAAATTAGGCTTGACAATACTCAAATCTGAACTAATAATGCCAAATAGTTGTCTATTTTTTAAGGTAATATGGAGCACTCAAATTGTTTTGAAAGAACAGTAGTGCAATATTTTGTTCTTTTTTAATAATAATAACAATTATATGTGTCACTAGCAAGTTGTTCTAGTAGCAGCACCACCCGTCCCACTTGGATGTGGTCCTAAGCTTGAGCTTGGCATTGACATGTTTGTGTGCATGCATGTGTTTAATTGTATAAAATAAAAAAACTAACAAGTATATGTTGATATGATGTCGAGTCAATAAACAAGAAATAGATAGTAAACAAGTAATGATATGTCCAAAATACCTCAGTGATGTCTTCAGGAAGCAAGAATATGGAACATCCAAGCTTTCTTGCAATGCTGATAATATAAGTGGCATTCATCTTTTTCTCTTCATCTGCATAAAGCAAATACATGTTGAGGAAGAAACCATAGAAATTCACAAGGCAAAATAATATAGCCAGACCCCAATGGATTTCTGCTCACACATTGTCATTCATTCAGTCAATGTTTTCAGCTCAAACTCACTGGCATCAAAGTCATCTTTATGCCTTAAATTTTGAAGTCAAAAGTACCCAAAAACTGCCCTACATAGTTCTTTGTTTTGTGGATGAGTGCTTTTTAATTCTAGTTCATGGTTCATGCAATATTTCCATTCCTTATTTGTCTTTCTCTCAAGAATAAGATCAAATAATCAACACTCGTTGCTTAAGGAAACAATTATACTCTATTCTCCCTTTTTTCTGAAAAAAGGGGCTTTCCAAGGAGGCATGCAAGTAATTGGAGAAAGCTTTGAACAATGAAAGATTTTACATAGAAGGCAACATACCAGTTACTCCTTTTGTAATGAGGCCCCAGTTCACAGCTCTGGGCTGCACAGAACTAAGGAGCTCCAGGAAAAAAATTCCATCGGACAAACTTTTATCCTGCAGTTTGATGTTAAACAATCAATGAAATGAAAAATGCAATGTAAAGATATGCCTAAATTGAGAATTCTTCTGAACATAAATTGCAATATTGTCATGTCATATGAATCCAGATAACAAAAGGCAATATAGTAGGGTTGGTAAGTTTCGCCCTTTTCTTTTCTTCTTGAAGCTCTGTTTGTTTCACAGAAACTTTCTTCCTTAGTCTTGTCTCCAAGAAAAAAGTTTTCCAAGCACAAATGAATAATAGTATACACTAATGTAGATAAATATACGGATAAAATGTCCTAACCATACCTATCCTTGAATTTCATTTAGCAACAAAATCTCAACAAAGAGAAAATAGATAGCTTAAGATGTAATCAATGAACTTTCTTCTCAAAATATTCAATGTCCTCTTTCTCTTAGCTAAAATTGGTGCCCATTCAGTAACAAACAGGCAACACTACAGCCAGATTATTCATCATCCCAAAATTTTCATTGAATTGAGAAAATCATAGCAACCTAGGTAAAATTACAATTGTGGGTTTGTTAACAAGAGTGGCACAATATATCGGTAACGGTAATTGTATTATATTACTATGAGGCCGTGCATAGTTATTCAAAAACTATTATAACATTCTTAGAAATATATTACAGGTGTATGATGTAAATTTTGTGAGAACAGGCTATTAGATGAACTATTAGTCGTAAAAGTACAGAACTATAGTTCCTCTTGTTTATTCGGTAAGTATGCTTCAACAAGAAAAGGGCCATAAATAGATAAAGTAGTATAGGATTTCTAAATCCCAGTGATTAGTATGGACTTCTAAACCAGGTACTTAAGAATATAGACAACTCTCTAATCTCAACAGTTAGCTTTTAAGGGAAAGTTCCTTATCTCAATTATCCCTAGAATTTGGTATCAATGCTTGGTAGCTTGGAAAAAAGGGGGGACAAAGAGAGAAAGAAAGAAAAGCTACTTATTGAAGGTTCTAACCAGCAAAAGACCGAGTGAAATGCAGTGGTGTTTAGACACTAGGTCATCAAATTGATCGAAACCAGGATAGCATAATGTACCTAAACCCCACATCAGGCAGACCAAGGATTTTCCCCAATGCATGTGTGCATCAGCTGCATATACCATGTATAACCAGGGGGAAAAACCACTGTATGGTATGTTAAAATTGGTACACTTAGTCATGAACCAAATTAGGTCAATCCTCTAAGTCAGTAGCTTCTCACATATGAAAAATTAGTTGTGTATTATATTTAGATACCTTAAAGCTATCCATGCGGCTCTGGCTTCCTGAGCTTCTCACTTTGTTATTGGCCCATCCCAAAATATCAGCATCAGTTATTTCCTTCCCATGAGAGTGAGATCTCAAGTTCTTTAGGAGTTGTAGGATGTTGTATCGCATCAGTTGCCACAAATAAGCTGAAGAAAAGATCATCGCTATCTGATTTAGACAGTACTCTTCAATATATATCATAAAATTTAAATCTTATAACATCGTTACTCTCCTGTTATTGGCAGTTTTAGGTGTTTTTTTTATTTTTTTTCATTCGCTGACTATAACCTTATTTTTTGCACATGGATAAACCCCGTTGAAGTAATGTGTCACATTTAGTGAATTGAAATACTATGATTTAGCAGCATATAATATGGGGGGAACAACATACCCAATATCAGTTTTTTATTTCCCTGCACAATGTCATTTCCTGCAACATTTACCAGAGAAAACCTAAGTTGTTTCCCAATTTTCACAACTTGGTTGCAGTTCTCCACTTTCTTAAATGGCATTTTAATTGGAGGCTTATTAGCGATCTTCCAATTGACAATCCCTGGCGACACCTTGTCAAGAGTCTCTAGTAGTACCCACCTGTGATGAAGTGAAATCACTTTCAACTCAGAAATTTGAAGATAAAAATTTAAATATATATATATTGTATCTATAAAACTAGAGCAATCATATTCAATGTATATTACAGAAATGGCAAAAATGCAGGATACTTACCCATTTCTGACATCCTCAAAAACATTGTTGACATATGTAGAATTGCCAAGACTATTTATCCAAAGGCGAAATGCTCTCTCTTCTCTGGAGTCTTGGGTGTCATCTGGCAATGTTTCAAGTAAAGATGCCTGTCTTGTTTGGGTTGAAAGTCCATTCCTATAAAAGAAAAAATGAATAAGATTGTATATATTTCTTAAGCATTAAAAACTCTGAAAAAAATAAATAAATAAATGTAGGGAACATTTCACCATTTAAACAAAGCTTCAAAGTTGAGAACAGCGTATACAGATAATTACTTTAGAATAACGGGCAAAACAAAGCCATTAACTGAGCAACAAGAGGAATTGTAATGCTATTTTGTTTCAATGTTGCCTAGTTGACAACCTTATCAACAATTGAACGTTCAGTAAACACATGAAATGCCAAATGTTGTTAATATATGATAAAAAAAACAAGATTAATAAAGGCATTGAAAGTTGCAGTATCTTCCAAATTCCCAAATAACGCCTCACTTAATTCTCCTCTCTGCACTCAAAATACTTAAATATCTGGCAGGAAAGCAACCATAACAATAGCTGAATACTTCCCACAAAGGGTAGAAATGGTGATGAGGTGGAACTGTTAAGGATCCAAATGGCGAATAGATGGAGTATTAATCCTAGGATATATCGGGTTCCAATTCAGGAATCCTAGTTTTAATTTGAATAGGGATTTACTATCCACGTTTACTAACGTTGATACTCAGATGAACAATAAAAGACATCTTACAATGAGCCATTATATGTAGTTTTTCTCCATACTGAAAAGTTGACTGTCAAAGTCATTAGGGGCTCTATAGGAAGTACAGGAAAATTCAAAATTCCACAACAAATAATCTCAGTTAAGTACATCCATGAATGAAGCTTTTGATAAAGGCAAAAAGTAAGTCTTTGTCTCTAGAATGACCGTTCTACCCTCATCACAACCTCCCTCAGCAACCCAAAAGAGACAAAGTAAAAATTTTAATAGTGTTTAAGAGAAAGCCGATTCTCACCTGAGCTGGAAAATATGTGCAACAAAAGCAAGATTAAGATTTGGGGACCCTTCCACTATATCTCTTGCAGTTAAGTATCGTTTACAACCCATCTTATCAGCATGTTCAAGGACTAACTTCGCTCTTTCAAATGGATTTTTAACTTCCAATGTGGACGGATTTGTGTATTCAGGTGCAAGAACATTTAGAAGATGAGCATAAGCCTCAGCATCCTGCAGGCTCAGAACCATATATACTCAAGCATCAGCTCCAGGCACAGAGATGCATAAAAAAAGCTATGGAATTTCTTGCCCCAATTCTTTGCTATTTCCCAATTTTTTCAACTTGTAAAACAAGAGAAGAAAAGTAGATAATTCCAACAAGAATCCAACTAGGACTCTTTTTCCTCCCACAGAGAGCATTGCATGCCCATGAAAAAGAAACTTGTCGGTCAAGATAAGCTAATCTATTAGGTAAGTTACTTATTTATTGTCTACCATTATGCGTCAATACTTCAAATTCCTATACTATACAGTCATATATTAATTGAAATGTTACCAAGTTAACTGTAAATAAGCTTCACAAACTAACAACCAGAGAAGTAAGATTAAATTATTTTTCAATGGTCATGTGAAAATTGAATAGTGTTGGTTAAAATAACTAACTAATTCTACTTCTAAACATGCCAGGAATAGGACACCATATGAATCTTTAAGAACTCCAGTTACCTTTACGTCAGAGGAGAAGTTGGTGACTATCTTCCTATAGCCTGCTTTTTTCAAATGATAATTCATCCACCTCAACAAGATCTTTTCTGGCGGTAGACTCATCAATTCTTCCATGTCCTGTCAGTTTTAAAAATATGATTGCAATGTATAAATATATAATGAACAATGGAATTGTTTGCCTGTGCGTGTGCATCCATACGTGTGTATAAGGTATCTTACCTTACTATCCCCGATCAACTCCACCAGTTGAGGAGTTTTCCTTAGGTTCAGGTCTGCCAACAGTTGTATCTAATTTCACACAAACATTAAGAATGTAAAAAGGTTAGCCTCAATAAAGCCAACTAAGCTTATGCAGTCTTCAATCTCTACCAAGTCCTTTGGTCCTGATGATAGAATGTATCAACAGATTCCTTATTCATTTGTACGATGTGGGAAAAAAAGAAAAATAGTAGTAGTAAATATAAACTGCTAGATAATAAATTCAACTTGTCCATTAAAATTTACCTTGATAATCTGTGAAATCAATCCGAGTACTAGATGACGCTGAAATAAAAACATAAAACAAATACATAATTATTTCTTCTGAGAAATACAGGGAAAAATCAGATATGGATATACAAAAATGCAAAACTAAATACAAAACAGGATCGTTTGGTCAAGTATAATGCAGAACTTCTATGAGTCAACTTCATAGCATCCCAGTTTTAATGAGCACAAAAAGGACCATGTTTTTGGGGGGGGGGGCCAAAGCAAAATTATACATGCATACATTACATATCAATGATTATGCCGCTTTTTTGTGAAAACTCAAAAGGCTTGGATACATACCCTTCCTTCAATGAAGTCCTGAGTCCCAATATTGACCACTGTGCATCCAATTGCTTTAGCAGAGTTTAGGCAAAGCGTGTGATTTTCATTTCTCTCCCATGGATTAAGTATTCTTTTTGTATTGATTGCTCGTTCATCAATTGTACCCGGAACTGCTACGTTGATAAGCTTACTGCAAGAGCATGTAATTTTGATGTTGAAAAGATTAAACTGATCTAGAGAAAATTTAGAAAGAATAATGAACAAACTTATATTACCATAGAAGAACACCATCTTTTGCTATTTCAAACAGATCATTAGTTGAAGGATCAATAGGTAGGTATTTCTTGAGGAAGCCATCTTCTGCAAGATAGTTATTTATATGTGCAACATATGATGCCTTCTCAGACTCACTGATGGTGTGAAGCAAGTTGGTCGTAGCAGCCTTCAGGAATGCAGAGGGATTCTTTGCATTATTTCCTGTCCTTGAACTTGCAAAATTCTGTAGCTTTAAGTAAACCTGCAACATTACAGCACCCACATTTGTCAGTATTCAAATCAAACCTTAACCTTTAATTGCTCAAACTGTCATGGGTCTCACGTATTTTTTCTCCTTTCTGATACACTTTAGACACGGCCAAATTCAAATTTACCAGTAAACTGCAATTGAAGTAATCCAAAATATAATCTCAGGTTAACATATGATACAGCCAATTAAATCAAAAGCTCCTCAAACATTCTGCAAAGTACAGAGGGCAAAAGATCTTATGCCAGAATTTCAAGATCCTTATGCAATGTATAAAGATGAGCATTCTTTCTTGTGGGAGCCTACGAAACTAATAGCATACTGTTTTATTTTTCAAAATGTTGTTATATTTACAATTTACAATTCATATCAAGAAAAAAGTTTATTGCTTTGGAATCTGCAGAGAAGTTCCATTGCCTCTATCAGTCACAGCAACAGGACGAGAGAATCGAAGAGAAAAGTAAACAAACAGTGATGAATCTTGAAGATAGAATTTCCAGAAAACAAGAATAGAACACCAAATCGACATGACAAAACAAACCTTGAGAAACAATTCAAAATCGACCTCCTCTTCTGCGTTCTGATACAAACCCTGGATGAAAGAGGCTCTTTCTTCCTCACTCAGATTTTCTCCGACCACTTTCAACCTCGACATCTTGGAAGCCAAGTCACCAATCGCAAGCTTCCCGCTTTCCCTCCTCATGCTCATGAACTACAGCAACCAAGCGTCAATCAACAATCAATAATCTCAGTATCACCCAGAAACCCAATTGCATGAAGCACAGAAAAACAATTTCAATAATGATGATGATCTAAACTTCCAAACTTTATAGAGAAAGTAGTAAAGTAAGTTAGTGTCTAAAAGATAAGACTCCAAAGTTAGCATTCCAACAGTTTCCTACAAACCAAAGAGATGATGAGAACCAGAAGTGGATTCATATTTGGATTCGGACCGTGGAAAACAAAAAAGACAGAGGATCGGAAACTGGCTTGGATTTCTTTATGGAGTGTTCTGTGATTGAATGCACCAGACTGGTGTGGAAGGTTAAGCTCTCAAAGATCATGAGAGGAGGAGATTGAATCCCGGAAAAGTAGGAAGAGACATGCTACGAATCCATGATGATCACAGCAAAAAAGAGATGATCGGAAGGGAGACGAACTTACGTGGGACTTTAAGCTTCTAAGCTCGACTTGAGTGAACTGATTTTGAAGCAATGGATCTGAAACAAGTATCCCCCAGTGACCGGACATCTTCTGCAACTTGCTGAGACTTCCAATGAAACAGAGATGAAAGTTGCAGAATGAGAACAGAGGAAAGAAAAGGCCTGTCTGTGAATGTACCAGATTTCTTCTTCTCTATGCAACAGTCCCTTCTCTCGCCCTCTTCTCTTTGGTTTCGTCTATAAGAAGTTGAAGTGTTAGGAAGGCAGGAGGGTGTGTATGTGACAATGAGAGAGAGAGAGAGAGGAGGAGGTGGAGGAAGAAGGAAGAAGGACCCAACATCATGGGACGGTGTAGAGCTGTCAGAGCTCAAAGTTGTTCTGTGAGGGAAAGAAGGAGAGAGAAAGAATTCGAATTATTACAGAAATGTCCCTGTCCCAAGTACTACGTTGCTAACGAAAGATTATTGCTGTTATTATTATGCCGAAGGAGTGCTTCCGTTCAATAAAATCCAGGGGAGCCCCATTCATTAGCCATTATGTTCTTTAGAATGTAGATTAGAGGGTTTTTTTATGAATAATAAAATATGTCAAATGTAGAACGGGGTGTTTAAAAAAAAAAAAAAGAGTTCAAACTCTCTTGATAATTAATTAAAAAAAAGAACATAAAACCCTTCAAAAATATTTGTCAACAATATGAATCATTTTTTTGTTATAATGAACGCAATGTAATCGTAAAAAAAGAAAAAAAAAAAGTAAAAGGATACATTGGAAAGATTAGACTCCCTCACAAGCAGATGACAGAAGACACAGGAGGCCAAAGAGCTTGTAGAGGTGATATTGATCCTCCTCTGTATGGGATTCGATCTCGCTTATAACCTTAGATCAACATATTTGGTTAGGTAATGGTCAAATTTAACTGGATAACCAAACAATTCTTTTAGATATCCAATACTCCTAGATGAAAATTTTTAAGATAAATTTGTATTTTAATAAAAAAAATTAGCTTAGATGACATGTTAACCGACCACCTTGACTAATTTGGTCAATTAGTGATAAACATAACTTGGATAAAAATGGGGCAATATTACTATGAAAGCAAAAAAAAAAAAAAACTTCTGAATAAGTGAAAACTTACATGCAAAGTTGCACCCTAAAGCTTATTTTATATTAGTCAGTATTGATAATAAGAATATATTAACAAAAGTCTTAATTGAAAAATATGTAAATATTTAAAAAGGTTAATATAATTTATGATTCTTCAAGTTTCAAATCATAGGTTTTGGTTCCTCAAGTTTATTTCTATATAAAACATTGGTATCTATAATTTAATAAAAACTAGAGCGTTTTGCAACCAAAACTCATTGTTTGAAATTTGAGAGACTAAAATCAAAATTCATACAAAATGGAGGGACCAAATATTATATTAATCCTATTTAAAAATAAAATTTATTGATTTACTTTTAATTTAAATTATTTTTATTAGAAAAAGTATAATTTAACATAATCTTAAAAGTATTCGATAATTAATAATTTTCTATTCCAAGGATGGGGCCTTCTTATTGGCATTTAAGCGGATAAATTGTAGAGGTGAATGTGATTTTAAGTTATAGCCTCATCCCCTCTCAAAGTGTTTTTTAAGTCAAGTTATTTCACTGTCTAAGTGCTGTTTTACTTTGACTACAACTTCAAACATTCACATCAAGTCAAAATTAATATATAAAAAATAAAAGGAAGTTTTACATGGAGTTCAATTAATTAAAAAACTTGCTGCTATTATTATGATCATTGCACTGTTATGTTTACTTTTTTTTTATTTTTAAAGAATTAAAGTGAATGGCGCTTTGCGATTTCTAAAACTTAGTAGTTCTTAGTTGTTAGTTACTTGATTTAAAGTTTAATGGGTAATAAAGTTATTTTAAATTTAAAAATGAATAAAAAAATAATTGAGAAACCGAATTTATATTACAACATTTTCTAGCATATATATGGAAATTATTTGAAAGTCCCTTTGTTTTGGCTTTTTTAATGAAAAATTACTTCTTTTTTTGGGGGGAAAAAAAGCAATGTTAAAAAATTTTGGAATGTTCATTTAAAATTTTAACATCGCTATATTATAATACTTTCTAGCATATATAAAATAACACTGGAGATGATGCTTGACGTATAAAATTACCAAAAACAACATCAAACGTTGAAAATGCTTTAATTATTATATTACTTACAATTTTATACTACCAGTTCTTGATATAAGAGTTAGATAAATAATTTGTGAATATTAAAAAAATTAGTTAAGTTAGTTATTATAATAAATGGATATTATCTTTTCTAAAATATATCTTAGTTAATCATGTGTAGTGGAATTACCTAAACTCCTTACCATAAGTAATCATCAAAGAGATTAATTGGAGTAAGATGAATAAATATTAGAGATAAAATAGTTTGAAATCTTATATTTAGAATCAAATTAATTCTTCAATTAACTCTTATATTAATAACACAAAGTGGTATATGATATCACATCATTCAATAAATTTAATACATAAAATAATAGACGTTATACTTACCCTAACTAGGCTGGTGAAATACAAAGAAGGGAAAGGCATGTCTCACCTTTTGTGACTTGTGAGCCTAGTGTTGCATATAATTTATGATATATACTTTTGGTAATACCAAGAAATAGTAAAGGCTATGAGACCAAAAAAATATTAATAACATTATATAAATAATAGAACTAATTTATCTAGCGAAATTAGGCATAATTCCTTTAAACTTTATGTTATGTATTATATATAATTTTATTATACTATGAAACTTTATAATGAAACCCTTATACTAAAACATTGTATAGATGATTTTCCTAATAATATATTTTTTTTATTATTTAACTGCACATATATCAAGGTTTATGGGGCTTATATACATATAACTCAGTTTGCGGATATTATATACACAAAAAATAAAATTTAAGGGGTATCTAATTGATTGTTGGGACTTTTTCATATCAAGTTAAAAGTTTAGATGAGTTGGTCATTAGGTGTTAAAAATTAAAGGGATTATTATATTTATGTATGTTTCAAGATTTATGAGAATTTCATGTAATCTAATCATTTTATTTTTTAGTAACTAACTCTCTTTTTTCCATGACCACCGAGATTAGTTACCATTCTCCTTTCTTCTAAATAGCCAAGAGGTGTGCGAGGCAGCCAAAGATACATTCACCTTACTCAAAAACAAATCAGCTATCCTAGAGCTAGAGAGCTTCCTCTATAATTTTAAGAAGGGTAACTTCTTTGTCACTGAATATTATGCTAACCTATTTGTTAAATGGCAACAACTAGATATGTATGATGCATATGAGTAGAAGTGTCCTGGAGATGCAGCCATGTATGAGAAAATAAGGGAAGAAAAGAGGATTTTCAAGTTCCTACTAGGGCTAGACACAACTTATGATGATGTGAGAGGCAGAATCATGAATCTCGAAATATTACCCTCTTTGTGTGAAGTATTTTTCACAGTAAGAAGTGAAGAAAGTTGCAAGAAATTGACTTCTAGCCCTCTACTAAATGTGGTAGAACAGAAACCACATGTTCTCCTATCAAGGGAAGGCTCAAGGGAGGAAGACAAGCCTAGGCAAGGGAGATGGTATGATCACTACAAAAAGAAAGGGCATACAAGGTACGTGTGCTGAAATTTGCATGGTAAACCTAAAAGAGTAAGACAAGAGAGCAAAGGGTATGCTGGAGCAATACCGCTAAAACTAAACCTAAATTAAACAAAGAAGAGGTGGAGCTACTCAAAAGAATCCTTGAAAGGCATAAGCTTCAAGGGAAGAAAGTTTCATCAGGATATATTGCTCATACAGATAAAACAATTTTGTCCCTAAAAACTGATGTGCATCATAAGGAATTATGGATTGTTGATTCAGGAGCAATCGATCACATGACTGGTAATTCAGATTTACTCACACATATAAGGCCTTGTACATTGAACATCTTGATTTAGGTAGCAGATGGAAAAGCTATTAAAGTTGAAGGCTTTGGTACTACAAGAATAAATGAGAAGTTAATATTATATATGTGTTTTATGCTCCAGAATTGAAGTGTAGTTTAATTTTTGTTTGAACTATTACAAAAGATCAAAAATGTGATATGTATTTTTCTGCCTTTAAATGTATATTTTAGGATCTAGTATTGAAGGAGACGATTGGCGTAGCCAAGTTTCTTAAAGGTTTCTATTGCTTGGAAACAAGTTAGCCAAAGAAGAAGCAATTTCTGTCTAATGTTCAGTCTTTTTTTTCGCTGTTTCTTCAAATAAAGAGATATTATCGCATTATAGGTTAGGCCACTCCAATTTTCACTATATGTCAAAAATATTTCCTCAATTTAATAAAAATTCTCCTTTGTCTTATGAAGTTTGTCAATTAACGAAGCATGCCAGAACCACTTACAAAAATCATCTTCACAAAGTTTCCCATTCATTTAATATTATCCCATGCAAAATTCTATGTGACATTTATTGATGACCATACCTGTGTTACTTGAGTTTACATCATGAAAGACAAATCAGAACTTGTACCCACCTTTATCAAGTTTCACAAAATGATTTCCACACAATTTCAAACTGACATATGTACAGTAAGGAGTGATAATGGGAGGGAATACACAAGCAATATCCTTCAGACTTATTGAGAGACCATGGTATCATTCACCAAATCAGTTGTATAAAATAGGACTGTTGAGTGGAAAAATAGACATTTACTTGAAGTCACACGTGCTATAATGATTGCCTATAATGTACCTAGTCTCTATTGGGAAGAAGTTATTCTTATCGCCACAAACCTCATTAATAGAATGCCCTAAAAAGTTCTGAATTTTCAAACTCCCACGGACCTACTCCTTAAATCCTACCCAAATACTTTCAGAGCAACCCATATTCCATTAAAAGCCTTTGGATGTATGGCCTATGTTCATAATTCCACTGGCAGAAAACTTGATCCTAAAGCCATAAAGTGCATTTTCCTTGGTTATTCCTCCTCTCAAAAGGGGTATAAATGCGATTCACCTATCCTTTGAAAACTGCTCATCACCATGGATGTCTCTTTCAATGAAAACCAAGCTTACTATACCACTCCTCCCATTCATAGGGAGAACAATAGTGAATGGGAGTTCCTGTATCATCCAAACATATCTGAAACCAGTGAAAACAGGCCCCAAAATGAACCAAAA